TTTATAATATAATATATAAATATACCTTTAACTTGGAGATCAGAATGTGTTTAAGAGCCGTTGTGGGGGAGATATTTTATGCTTTGGCTCAATAATCGTTGTTTGCCTCTGGTATCAGTGTGTTTGTTTGCTTTTGGCCGAGCGTGACTTCACACATCCGCTGGTGCAAAAAGCGAAAGAACGGAGGTGTGGAAATGGACAATACTGGTGTGTGTGTGTGTGTGTGTTGCGGGACTGTTCAGTGACAGCAGCTAAAAGCATCCTCAGGTTGTTGGTGGCGTGCGTCACTTCAGGTTGTAAAATCTCTGAGGTCCCATGATGCAGTTCAGGCTGGATTTTACCTCAGTGGTTATTCTTCCGGACACATCGACTAATACTTGTTCATGTGTGAGTTTTTATTCTTACTGATGTTTGGTTAGGGATGTAAAGATATATGGCGAGTTACAGACAGTAGACAGATTGGTATCAGCTCGTCCACCAGAGTAAAACTTTACACAGGTTTTCTTCACATTTACAGTTTATACTTTTCCAGATTCAAGACTTCTCGGTAGATTTTTCAGACCACATTTGACAAGTCACCCATTGTGGAGTCCACAAAGACCAAGTAGACTATACTCACATTATTTTCCTTCATTTAAGAGGCTCTGTCGGCAGAGATATATCTATTATATATATTCATAGCTATGTAATCAGATTCCACGCGTTATCTGGAGTGTGTTTGTCAGCCATTATTCTAACGACTCATCTTCACGTTTTTAATCTTTTCTTACCGTACCTATTTCTTACTCACTCACTTCTTCCTGACTCAGAGTTTAAACCCAGACGCTGACTCAGCAGGAGGCAAAAGCTGGCTACTCTGCACACTGGCTGAAGGGTCGATAGGGGAATGAACGGGCAACAGCGGGGAGGACTGGTGAGCAGGTCAGGTGATGGCTGAGGTGGGGAACTACAGGGACCCCTGGTGGGCAGGTGAGGGAGTGTCAGGCTCTGAAAAGACACAGTGACAGCAGTCAGGAAGAAAAGAGGAGGAGATTCAGTGTGATTGCACAAAATCCTTTATTTCCAGGATCCAAGAGCACATTTCAACACACGGCTCAAAGACAAACTGCATTTTTTAAAAACATCTGTTTACATACAACTACAACCTTCAGTGATAAAAGTAGCAAAATAAAGTCTGTGGGCCTTAAAAAAAGAAATAAAAGAACCACGACGAAACAGCTTACGGAGAGTTTGGTTCCAACGTTGAGTTTGAAAAATATGAAACGATTAACAATCACTTTTAAATGTTTTCTGGTGGACAAAGTGGATTTTAAGATACTAAAAGGTCAGGAAAAGATTTTAGATTTTGATGTAAAGTGTTATATCTCTTCATTTACTGAACGAGGGAGTGGCCTGACTTACCCTTATGGCACCATTTTGTTTTGAGCTTACGAGCCTGTTTACACCGGGTATTAAAATGTGTCTAAATACAGTGTGAACGACCACCGAGACGCACTGAGATCCCGTGTTGAAGCCTTCAGTACCAGCAGCAGATGTCTGTAAAAACTCTGATTGAACTAATGAACGAGTGAATGCAATAACCCCAGACTCCCTTAAAGAATCACGATTCTGAGAGTTACTGAGTGAGGAGAAACCTTATAAACTTTATGAAACAACGACTGATTGGTAATCATTTAGGCCTTCTTGTAAGTTCTTTCCTTCTTTGTGTAGGATGCACACTAAGGTTGGGCGATTGGATGTTTGTGATTTTCTTTTGCTAACTGGATGTTCTGCCTCCGAAGGATGAGAGCCGCTCAGTGACAGGCGCATCCTAATGCCAGGTGTAAACAGGCGTCTTCAAACATGACATGAAGAGAAAACACACAATATTCATACAACATGGATTCATAAAATGCTTTTTTTCTACAAGACTACTTTCAGTGCAGGAGAAAGAGTTTGTAAGAAGAGTGACTTAAAGTAGTGCTTGCAACAAAACCATTAAAAAACACATTATATACACATACAACCTTTTTTTTTTTTTTTAAAGCGCCTTGGAAAATGATTTATATAATTGTTATCTTTCATACAGCATTTGATCTCATAACTGGTTTAAATAATCTGTTTTATAAGAAAAGTCAGTTTACAAAAAAAACAGCAAAAACAAAACAAACAGATCTGTAAATGCGTTTCGTGGTCGCGACGTTTGTCATCAGCTAACGCTACCGACGCTGACTCATCACTGCTGAGCACCTTTTTGTAGTGAAACAAAAGCTTCATGTTTCAAACGCCTTTACAGTTTACACAAGACATTCAACGACGGAGCAACTGCAGACACACGTGTGTTCACATGTTTCTCATTTGGTTTTTGAGTCGGTGCTAAATGCTAAAGGCTGTCCAATCTGTGGTCCACCCTCCGGCGACCTCTCTGCCTTTTAAATGTGAGCGTCACTGCGTTCATGTCATATCAGAACTGAGCTTGTTTATATAGTAAAGAGGTTAAAATCAGACAGTGACAGCACAACTTCTTATAAAAGTAAATAAACTGATAATATATTACGACACCAAACATGGAAGTTGTGTTGTGATGCAATAAATCATAAAGCTAAATAAATAATAAAGTAAAATGTTCCCTGTCAGATTATTAATATCTGATGTTTACAGCAATGATTCATCTTCTATAAGATCATTATTAATTAAGTTAATTACACAATCATTTCCAGTCAGAAGCTGCATCTGTTCTTTACGGTTAATCTGAGATGACATGAACGCACCACCAGCAGGTTGGGGTTGTTTTTAGTGGCGGAGATCAGGAGGAAGTCTGCGGAGAAGAATAGTGGAGCAGCGTGTACAGCGTCGTCTGTCACAGTGTCTGTTCTGATGCTACGATTGAAGTCGGTAATCTATGAAGTGCTTTAATGGAAGCTGAACGTCTCCTGAAGGACGAACAGCTTGTGCCGGGTAAGCGTGGTTTGGTTTGAGTCTGTAAATAATACGACTGATCGCGGAGCAACTGGGAAGTTCCCACTGTGGCTTCACCTTTCACTGGTTCCCACACATCACTTCTTTGTGATCACAGGGAAACAAAACTTGAGAAATACTTCCATGCGCTTCCTCTCCGGCCTTCAGTCGTAATCTATTATTTACAATTAGGTACTTAATGGGGAACTGTGTGCATGTAAGTGCACTCAGTGTTCCCCCACACGGCACGACTGCAGGGTAAAGTAAGAGGGAGTCCGACTGGCCGAGGCCGCCGAGACAAGGCATTAATGGGACATTTTCACACTGTCTCCGGTCAGGAAACAAAAATGCTTTTATGTTTGATTTCAGTGCCACTGACAGACAATCAGACCTTTCTGATTGTGTCTGTCATACATGTAAGTGCACAACTTCATTGTAAACCTCAAAGAGGCTAAAATGCAGCATTAGGACCAACGACGCTTCCTTCAAATAATAACTTTCCTTCTGATTTGAACCTTTTACCAATCTCATCTCAACAATATTAACTATAAGAATGAAATGCTGTTTAGTTGACGTATAAAGCACCAACGACATCTACTAAACCCCGACAGGTCTTCTACACACAGCCGACAAACAAACACTCACGTTTAAATACTCTGTTGGTGCGTTCAGTCCAAATCTCACGGCTGTTTGTATCGACGTCTCTCTGTTCTGACTGCTGGCAGACGTGTGGAGTGGTGAGCTCACCAATGAAAGCAACATTTATCTTTAGGAAGTTAAAACTCTTCATTAACTGCAACACATTTATCTTCTCATAACTGCTGACCAGTTTCTAAAGCGTCTTTAAAGGTAGTTCCAGACTTCACTGACGATAATCTGACATTTAATCACACTGAATATTGTTTCAGACGTAAACAAGCTTATAACCAACTGCAGGAAACGTACAGTCTGCTTTAGAAACGCTGAGTAATGAGAAGGATCCACTGAATAGTCCAGTGCTGACTCTGTCCTGTTACGCGGCGCTACGACCTTTAAAACATACTGATTGTCTGAGCTGAAAGTTGTTCCAGTGTCAGCACCGGACTACACAGATAAACAGACCGCACCAAAGCAACCGGCGCTGCTCAGCGTCTCCAGGACTTTAACCGTGTATATACAGATCAGAACGTGAGGAATTTGGACTCGGGAGCGGAAATCCAGTCAGGTAAAAAGAATGAACGTTTCAGTGAGTGAGAACGAGCAATATTATAATACGCAGTGCTCCAGATGAAGGAACTTCTTCCTCTCGCCGGTGTGATGTCGAAACAAAGAGAACCTGAAGTCCTTTCTGGAAAAGAGAGTTTAAGAATAATGTGGGCGTATCGAATAGTTTCTTCCTTTCTTCCTTCTGTACCTTCTCTCTTCCAGCCTCCTCTTATTCTCTGCTTTCATCCTTTCAGAGGAAGAATCCAGATTTCTGGGGGTCCTGCAGGGCGGGGACTTCGTCTGGGCAGGAGACGGGGAGTTCGCCTGTCGCCACTCCGTTTCCGTTGGGCATCAGACACGTTCTGATGTACGCCGCCGCGTTGGTGGCGCTGAGGAGGCGTCCGTTCTCCAGCTGAAAAACCAAGTGGTCACATTTTAAGGAAAATACAGGTATGGTTTTATTTATAAGTTCTTATGATTAGATGTTTGATTTTACAGATCAATCATTATTATTCTTTCTATATTCATATATTCACATTTATCGTTTATACTGTGATGTGTATGATTTCTCTGATACACAGCGAGGAGGATCAGTGCGTGTCCCTCCCGCTGCCCCCCCCCCTCCGTCCTGCGTTCACAGCATTAGGTAATGATGACAGTCGAATTGTAGGTCAGCAGCGCTCACGCTCGACTGGCCGGCCTGCCAGTATTTTTCTTTCAGCAGCAGTCAGTGACCCTGAAGAATAACAGAGGAGGCTGAATGAGGCGGGGATGAATGGATGCCTGCCGGGGTCGGGCCATCTCCGGGGCCGACCGTGTCCCATCCCGACCTTCTTCTATTCATTATTGTACTCTTCCTCACTGCTGCCTCTCATTCTCTCGTACAATAACAAAGGAGATAAAATGAAACATGAGTTTGTTTTTCACTCTAAACACAAGCGATGCTCGTCATGCTTGAAGAGACGGACGGCTCGTAACTAAAACAGGAGAATATATATAAAATATAATAACTAGATGATGTTCTGTTGGTTTGAAGTACAGCAGACCTTTTCTTTACTTTATTTATTATGTTTGTATGTTCACAGCTCAGTTAACAGTGCAGCAGAAAGCCAGACGTGCTGATTGGCGAGGTCTCATTACCTCGTTGTGTTTTACGATGGGACCTCCAGCTTCGTGCCTCTTTGTGCTCTGATGAGAGTTTGCAGGATGACATTCCCCTCGCTGCTCTGTCGTTACTGGAAAACGTTTCTGTTGGACTTTAAACATGAATTCCTGCTTCGCCTGAACATTACAGTCTCATTAAGCAGCCCACAGAATGTTACTGGGAGTTAATACTGCGCTCCAGCAGTGAATCGATGCTTATACAGCAGACATTCCTCCTTTAAATCCACATTTTATTAGGGCAGCAGCTAATGATTGCTCTAATACTGATTACAGATTATATTCTCACAAATCTGTAAAAAAGAAAACGTAACTATCACGTGATTAACTGATAATAACAGTTGCAGATCAGTTTTCTGTCGACATTTTAAACCTCTTGATGAAGATTAGAATAGATATATAGATAACTTACATTATGAAAACTACTTTTTGTGCTTAAATATGAGGCATTACCTAATGTTATCTACCGACGCAGTGTTGTTGGATTTCAGTGCACTCTGCTGTCAGACTGCGCCGCTCTGACCCATCTCCCTCTTGTCTTATTTACATAGCATGTCTGGTCGCATCATCACAGTTTACTCGGAGCTCCACGCCGGCCCGGGGCCTCTGTGTGCTGACTCGGAAAAAAATCCATTTCCATGACGGTGAAAGAGGAGAGCGCGGCGTCGAAGGGTTGTAGATTCTTTAGCCCTCGGTTTGTTGATGTTCACTGATATTTGAGGGCAGCAAAGACTTGGGGCCTCGTCACCGAGCTGGAGTCAAGACTCACAGAGCAAACAGTTCTGAGGAGAGCTGGCAGCTTTCAGCATTTTGAGATGGGAAGAAGGAAAAGAGAGAGAGAGTAGAGCCGACACAGGACAGAAGGTCTTAGTGAGGTTCATTTTCAGGCTGTTACGGGAGGGGAGAGGATTTCATTCTGTGAGGATGTCTTTTAAAGAGGACGTTTAATTAAAGCTAAATCAAAGATTCAATAATTATGTTGTGACGACAGACGGAAGACGGCGACATGTTAAAGACGTCTTCTCACTCAAACCCAAACAGAAGCAGATAAATATTCACTGAGGAGGTTTTATCCAACAACATAGATTATTTCCAGGAGCCGTTTTAATCGTTTTAATTAACGATAAATCCGTATCTGCACCCTGTGACCTCACCTGGTGTCTCACCTTGCTGTGCGTGGCGCCCTGCGTGGCGGCGTCGAACACGCTGCAGCTCTCTGCTGCCTGAGGCTGGGACAGACCCAGTAACTGCTCTAACTCCAGTGCAGAGCTCTGCGTGGGACACTGGGGCAAAACCTGAGTCTGCTGCAACATCTGCTGCAACATCTGCTGCTGCTGGTGCTTCTGGTGACCCTGCAGCTGGTACGGCTGCGCGCTGGACCCCGAGTTCTGGTAGTGACAAACGCCTGGATGTGCCGCGCCGGAGATGCTGTAACCCGCGTGGTCGACCTCCAGGTTGGGTGGAAAGGCCGCGTGTCCGTTTGAGATGTAGGATCCGTTAGCTGGCGGTCCGAGATGATTCTGGAAGTCCTGCTGGTGGGACCGGAGGAGGACCGGGTGCTGGTCCGGCTGAAGCTGCCACTGTT